CTCTCTCTCTCTCTCTCTCTCTCTCTCTCTCTCTCTCTCTCTCTCTCTCTCTCTCTTCTGACAGGGTTTTTCTGTGTAACAGCCCTGGTTGTCCTGGAACTCACTCTGTAGACAAAGCTGGCTTAAAACTCACAGAGATCTGGGATTAAAGATGTGCACCACCACATCCTGGCTTCTGTGAGAGTCTTTCTTGGACCTGGTGCCCCTGTTTCGTGGGGGGTCTGGCTTTGCCTGAACTCCTCTCTCTTCTCTTGGCAGCCACGAGACGGTAGAGAAGACTAGGGTTACATCATTTCTTTTCTTTTTTCTTTCCCATTTTTTCCCTATGGATATGTGTGATTATGCTAACATTTCAGAGGATCTGGAAAATGGCAGACGCTTGCCTGTTTTCTAACATTGGAAATTATGGAGTTGAACCAGGTGGAGAGAGAGAGAGAGAGAGAGAGAGGACTGGATGCTTGCTGGGGTTAAGTACACTGCGCAGGCCAGTGTAAACACTGTCTCCACATGTCTGATTTGTCCCCTCTTTGTCAAGATGCTGGGAGAAGGGCCACCCCGACCCTATTCTCCCTTCCTCTGTTTCTGGGTGCCTCACACCCACCTGCCCTGGCCACGCTCCTCTTCCCTCTCTGCTGGTTCAGTGCACACAGTCTCAGGGCTCTCGCCCTCCACATCCTGAGCTGCTTCTTAGAGTTGATTACTCTGAGCTCTCTGCTGCCCCTGAAGAATTCACTTCATTATAAGGTTCTCTGCTGCTCTAGATATTTGGAACAGGCCAATAATGGAAGACGCGCTTCAGATGAAACCAAATAAGAAGCCTAGAAGCCAAAGGCCTCTCCACCTCACTCTCCCCTACAGCATCCACCCCACTCCCCCCCCCATCCTCTGCTGCTTCTCTTGGGTATTTCTCTCTCAGCCAATACCAAACATCCATGCCTGTTTTGTGAATTCTCACTGGTTTAGACTGGAGTGTGTGTGTGTGTGTGTGTGTGTGTGTGTGTGTGTGTGTGTGTGAAGTTCTATCTTCTCATAAATCTCATTTGGGACCCTGTCAAGTCCCAGGGACATAATAATGTCTAGACCATGACAGTTCTGCTGCAGAGCTTCTACGCCAGTGGAAGAGGCCGTTGCATACACATATAACAGCAGCTGAGTGTGGGTGCTGGGTCAGATATGAGTGCAAGGTTTCTGTGACATCTCCTGAGCTTTCTCCTGCTATACCTGGGAGACTGTGCCAAGAGCTAGCCTCCTTTCAGGTACTGGCAATGCCCTGCCCTTATCCCAGGATGCCCTTGAAGGCTGCTCGCCTGCTCTGTTGCTGCAGATTTGTGAAAGAGAAGTCAGGAGGCAAGAGAAACATTGGTACAAGGTTTTGCCAGGTTTTCTCTTCCACTATCATACAATTTTAGACAAATGTTTTAAGTAAAGGATGTGGGGAATGATCCGACGAGCTTGGATGGATGGGCAGTGTAAGTAATAATAGCCCGAGTTCCTATTTAGTGAACACATCCCATGGGCCAGGTTCTGGACTCCATTAACTTTCCAGGACAATCCGATAGCACAGAGCTTGACTTTCATCCATCACACAGCAACACCATCTCAGCAAATCGTTTACTTAAGAGAAGTAAACACATTTTAAATCATCAGGGTCTCATTTCGGATATTGCTTGGCATTTTGAAAGAGCGAATGTGTCTTCCACACTGCCCTGAACCAAGCCCATACACAAATGTTGACTCAATCTTTCTGAAGCTCCGGCTCCCAATTGCAAATCTCCAGCTCGATTTCTAGACGAAATAGCTCCTGCCCAGACTGAACCCCCGCTGCTTTCTTATTGCTGGTTGCTCAGCACTGACTCAATCGATGTGTTTGTTTCTCCCATCGTATTAAAAAGAGTGCATGCTGCTGCTCCAGGGACCAAAATCTCCATTTCATTGTAGACTGGCTGTCTTTTTAATAAAGGCAGAAGAGGCTCCCCAAATGTTTCTCACTGCTTAGGCACAAATGTGACTTGGCATTTATACAGAGGGCCCAGCTTTGGTGGTAGGTCTAAAATGTAAGATGTTCTCTGGGTGTGGTTGTTTTTTATTTTTATTTTTTTTTTATGAGAGGTCGTTTACTTCTGCTTGGCCCCAGGGCTCTGTGGCACAAGGGTGATAATAACTTACTAAGTATTCCAGTCTGTAAGGTTAATGCCCCATCCCCAAGGTGTTTAATTTATACTGGGAGTAGTTTATTCATGGGCAGGATCTGGTCCATTAATTCCTGCTCTACCAAATTAGAAAACAAATCCACCGAGAGATTAAATGACTTTCCCAGGTCAGAGGAGAAAAGAGCTGAATCAGCATGCACTCTCCACCGGGTGGCTGAGCTGGGTGGCTCAATGTCACCCTTTGTCTTCTGCGTCGTCAGCTGAACAGTTGGCTTGTTCTCTATCCTTCAAGCCCCTTCTGAACACCCAGAGACACCAGAAAATGCCCTGTTTTAAAAATCCCCTCCAACAAGACTTTCGGTCTCCTTCGGTGATGTGGGTTAACATGTCACCCTAAAAGGGAGCATCAGAGTCTAAAGAAGAAGAAGACCCCAAACTCCAAAAGATTGATTGACACTCTGACTCAGTGCACATCTTTTAACTTCGTGTTCTGAGGAAGGGTAATTTGTCTTTACCTGGAGGCTACCCCTGGGGCTTGAATGGCTGGATAACCAACCAATCCTCTCTCTTCCACTTGAGCTGACTTATCTTTCATCACCTACCTCTGTGTGCCCTAAGTAAAGGACCAAGCATTCCACTAAAAAGTGGGTGTATGGTTGTGTTTGTTAAACACAGTTCTCTACCTTCTGAGAACCTGACATTTCCATGGCCATGTGGCTCACCAGAAGTGACAGAGCAGACAAACTCTGTTTCATAGAGTCACTCCACAAATTCACTTTGGAAAACACTGTCACCTTTATAGATAAACGTCATCCTTTCCCCTCTGCTCCGGTCATGACACATCCTAGAAGATTTAACAGACAGCCACTTTAGACAAAGCTCCCTGAATATTTGCAGAAAAATAGTGTGTGGCATGGAAGTTAGAAAGACAGAGACAGAAGATGGCATATCGACTGATTATTTTACTCTTTCCTTTTAGAGGCAAGGAACTCAAGACATCATCCATGATTCTTCCTTTAATATATCTATGTTTGAAGCCAGCTGCATCCCTAAACCTCGGCTCAGTGTGTCTGAGACGTGGCTTCCTCTCAGCATTATTCTAGTAACACTAATAGTCCTAGGACTGTTGTCTTCCATGCTGATGCAGCTTAAAATTCTGGTGTCAGGATCCTTCTACCCTGGAGTGGAGAGGGAGCGCATCCAATACCTCCATGCAAAGCTCCTTAAGAAAAGATCAAAGCAGCCACTGGGAGAAGCCGAAAGGAAACTGAGTCTGTACTTTAAGAAGGTAAGGTCAAGGGGGAAATATGCCTCTAATGAAGCTAATGCTGTGTCTGAAAGGCAAATGATAGTGGATTTCAAAGCATTCTACAACTTCACATCAGGATTGGGGGAACCTATTGAATCAAGTATTTTGTAGTTGGCTATTGGGAAGATCTTTTGTATTGGCTACTATGGAACAATGACTAATTTTTACCTTTTTACACCAAAGATAAAGTAAAAACATGGAAGGAAATAGTTGCCACTTAGTAAACTTTAAAGAATTTGCTTATCCTCTACTAAGTCCGTCTATCACCTATCTATCTATCTATCTATCTATCTATCTATCTATCTATCTATCTATCTATC